AAGCCTTAAACAGAAAAAAGATGGGAAATTTCTACCAAAGATGCGAAAGGTACAACTGGGTTGGCTGCATTTTGATGCCGAGAAGCAGAGTTTTGTTTCTGTGAGAATGGCCAAGGGAGGTGGTACAGGTGAGGTTGAAATTGAGCTAAATGCAGACAAAGACGACATCATTGGCATTGCCAAATCCATATTTTTCACCGATGGTAACAGTAACTTTGGGCCTGAACAGCTGATGACATTTGGACTGGCCAATTTCCAGCACAAAGACGTTTGAACAATAAAAGTTTCTGGTGTTCATTTGGCATTTACACTGCAGCGTTACGTAGAGAAATTCAAGATGTCTAGAGTCAGGCTTTACTTGACTTCAAAGATCAACATTTTAGATGATGTGTCCCTTCTAAAACCAGCAGATCACATTAAACCAGCATCTACGAGTAAATTAGAGAGAAAGGAAACTGGCTTGAATGGTGACGAGACCGAGTCACAGACACTATCAAAATTAGAGGAACGGCGGAAAATCATTTCTGAGCAAGATGCTGCCTATGAAGAGTCATTGGCTACTGACAAGGCTAAAAGGGAAAAGTTAATGAAAGAGGTAAAATTATGGTCTGTTAAACAATAGTATTCAGAGTGGCCTTCTGCTCATATCCAGAGACAGCCTAGTATATAATAATCATGGCATTGCTCTCCAGGAGCTACGGTACAACATTGACTCTCCATCCCTTTTGTGTGACATTTATTCAATGTTTTTAAAACCAGGTGGTTTGTTAAAACAAAGAAATGGGTTTGTTGTAAAAAATAACTTATTGTATCTAAGCCTGGAAAAAGGCTTGTTCATCATATCATTCTGTATTTCGGTTACTTTAGTATGTTGTTTATAACTCTTCTTGTGACTGAGATCTGAATGCAGTCTCAAACTTGTTTTGTTTGCTATGCTACATGCATGCTTATCTTTTAGTGTTATTGGTGGACATGACCAAGAATCCCACGTTCAGCAACAGCTAACCAAGGTTTGTTACTTTTGCTGTGTTTTGACAATATATTAGACAGTTACAATACGGATAAAAATCTTAACAAAAAACTGACAAATACATAGCACGCAAGTTTTCTTTGTTTACATGACTGCCTGTTGTTTTGCCACATTTATGCAGATCTGAACCGCAGCAATCATTAGACAAGTGCTGAGGGTAATTGCTTGGAAGGTAACTAAAGAACATTTGTTTTGGCGGACTGATGGAAGAAAGAGGACAACTGATGGAGGACGCCTTTTTCGCCAATATTACCTGCCATTGTTGGCAAGGCAAGAGGTTATATACAGCCCAAAAATTAAACTGTCAGTGATGTGTATGCATTCTTATCTAGATATCTACTTTATATAGTTACTTAGTTTTAAATTTACGTTTCCTTGGAAATTCATGTCCCATTTAAAAAATTTGACTAAATATGTGCGACAGAACATTTCTTAAAAGCATTCAATGACGTAAAAACCTAATTTTCAATAAGTGATGAAAATAATTACAAAAATTACAAGTTAAAACAAAACGTTTCACAAGTATGGAGTCCGTTTAGACATTCAAATTAGGAATGTCAATCACAGTGAAGATTAGAGGGACTAAGAACATATCATATGCCAATGTGTCTGGTTGTCTGTCGCCATAAAATGGGCAAAATTTTTGTGGTTCATTATCCCATCACAAGACAACAATTTTCTTTTTAAACGAAGCAGTTTATTTTCTTTCTGTCTAGAGCCCATTGCTCTCTGGAAATGGTGGCAGTGAAAATGAACAAGAAATGACCGATGACAGAGAAAAACAGAAGTGCCAGCGGAGACAGTAGTGGAAGTGGCAGCGGAAGCCATGGCAGAAGCAGTGGTGGAAGCAGTAGCAACGGAAGCAACAGCAGGAGCAGTGGCGGAAGTAGTGGTAGTGGAAGCAATGGCGAAAGCAGTGGCGGAAGTGGTGGTAACGAAAGTAACGACAGAAGCAGTGGGGGAGGCAGTGGCAGCGGAAGCAACGGTGGAAGCAGTGGCGGAAGCAGTGATGATAGCAGCAGCGGAAGTAGAGCAGCTGATGTCGCCGAAAGGCTGAGGTACAAATTCAATTCTTGAAATCTCATGCATTTACTTTGTACTACCACAATCATGGGGAAATTAGGTTATTCAGCAGAAAGGTGTATCATACTTTACTACCAGTGAATATTCTTACAGGTTTACCCTATTCTGTTTTGGGAAGCGGGGATAGTCCTTGGGTAGGGTTTGTTAAATTAAATGCATCTGACTTGTCTAGTTTCCAATAAACAGAATATGCAATTTTTCATCGAAATTTTTTTTTTCTAGAATAACCGGTTATCAATGGGTTTTCTCATTTCTTAATTTTTCTTTTTAAACTTATTTCGTGTACCATATCATGTTCCTTGTTATAGAGGATTAGCGATTAACCTATCAGATTTAGTGATACCTAAGTTCTTTAACTTTATCACCAGAACTTTAAGGGTGAAGCGATCGCTTGTCCTTCAAGACCTTGTAACAGAATTCCTTGATGGCGATATTATGACTTGCGAACTGAAGGTCATTATGGTACAGACGGACACGGGAAAGACGAAAGAGGGGAAGACTTACAAGAAATTTACCGAGACGCCCTGTCAAGTTTTTGGCAAGAATTCTATGTTTCCTGTACGCTCGGGGAAAGGGGGAGGGTTCCTTCCATAAGGCACGATTTTCAGAGCGACGCCTGAACTGCCATTGCACGCATTATCGTCAGGTTACGAAGATCTGGGGTATTTTCCAGTGATGCTAAGCAAAGCATTTGTGATCAGTACTATGCTTGGTGAAAAGGCAATTTCCGATGACATTCTCCTTCACTCATTCAAACAGTACCTTTCCAAAAGTGAAGAACAAGTTGTGTGCGAGGCATTGGGTAGACCCGTGGAGGAATGGGATAGTGACGACAAAGATGATGAAGACCTTCTTGAACTGCTGGATCGCTTTGGATGCAGAAGTCTTCCAACCAAAGAGAACATTAAGAGTCTGATACTAGAAGTAGCTCATAAGGAAATCATTCAAAAGGCACAATATGTGGCTGATTGCTGGCATTACATTTTTAGAGGGTCCCTGGCAGAGGGTAAATTATCAACTCTAGAGGGAGTATGTAGTGTTTACCAGTCGTTAGAGCCAACTACAAAGAAAGTGCTTGGCATGCTTTGTGCTTTACCGGGCACTAATGCGGGTAGGCGAG